TCCCCGAGGAGGTTACAGAAGGGCGCAAAATCAACATGACTGTATGTGCGGCCGAGTCACCATCTATGTCCAACCCATCATCCAAATCCGCTCTTGTTTGCGCAAAAGAGTTCAGCTGCGACATCATTCCTTTGCGACCAGAAGTCTAGAATCTAATCCATCATCATAACACTTAGGAAGAGGAACTTTCCACAAGGACAGCAGAACTATTGGAGAACAACGCAGATCATGTCTTACGTCTCCTGGTGCAATATGCGCAGTCTTCTGGTATGGGACCCTTCCCCCACAAGTCGATACGTTTTCCTCCCTTGGCTAGTTCTGACTGGACATATAATGAGAAACAGAGTCTGCCGCAACAAACCCTCAACTTCTGGAATGCATTACCTCGTGGATGCGTGAAATACCATCTGCGCAAATAGTCAACTCGTCCCTTTTGGACATAATTATCAAGGCCCTCTCTAATGACCGTAGTTTTGAAGCTGCTGTGGATACCATCTGTACAATATACAGGGACACGCTTGAGGTTGATGACGCAATGTCTATCATCCAAACGCTGTATCCAAGGATAATTGCCCTGAGACCCAAAATCAGGGAGGCTGCAGAGACAGGGGATTATGAAATGCTCAGAGGATTAACCAGGCTTTTTGCTGAAGCTGGCGAGGCATGGGTAGTGCTGATTGCCCGTTTGCCCACTCAGTTTAGAAGTTTAGTCGAAGCAGTCTTGGAATGCTGCATCGTTGACAAGGAGCGGGATGTGATCTCCATTACCTTCGTCTTTTGGTATGAGCTTAAGCAGTACCTGACCATAGAACGATACCTGCCAGCTAGAACGGAGCTTGCCGACTTATTCTCGAAGTTGGTGGATATTATGATCAAACATCTGGAATACCCTTCGCCTGATAATGAGCATAGCGATCTATTCGATGGAGATCGCGAACAGGAGGAAATATTCCGCGAGTTCCGCCACTCTATGGGCGATGTGCTTAAAGACTGCTGCGCGGTTATTGGTGTCACCGAATGTCTTGGGAAATCATATAGTCTGATTCAGAACTGGGTCGCTAAATACGCGTCGCAAGCAACACATGCCCATGTCCCACATTGGCAAGAGTTGGAAGCGCCGCTCTTCAGTATGAGAGCGATGGGGAGAATGGTCGAGCCTGAAGAAAGCTCCGTTTTGCCACAAATAATTCCCCTCATTGTTCAGATACCCGATCAAGAAAAAGTGCGATTTCAGGCCATCATGGCTCTCGGTCGATATACGGAATGGACCGCCCAACACCCTGAAACTCTCGAAGCCCAATTGAATTATGTGATATCCGGTTTCCAGCACAAGTCGCAGGAGGTCGTCCAGGCGTCTGCTCTCGCATTCAAATTTCTTGGTACCGATTGTCAAAAGCTTCTTGGTGGTCATATCCCCCAGCTTCATTCTTTTTACGAATTGGTCATCGACAACCTAAAGCCGTCTAGTCAGGAAGAAGTTACGGAGGGAGTGGCTGCGGTAGTTGCTGTTCAGCCAGTCGAGAAAATATACGAAACCCTAAAGTTATTCTGTGATCCTATCATGAATAGAATCATGAATCTCGCAAACAATGCTAAGGATGATGCAGGCCAGAAGGCGGTTGCCGGTCAGTACACGACGAGCGATGAGTTAGTGATGAAACTATGCTAACCAAAACCAATACACTTTTCTACAGATCATCTCCAATTAATTACTATCTTCATTCAAGTCGTCTCACCGTATGTTGGCCCCGGTACCCAAAATCCCGGCGTCAGATACTGCGAGGAGATCCTTCCCGTTCTAAATACAATCGTGCTGAATTTCACGAAATCCATCCCCATTCTTGAGAGGGTATGCCGGTGCTGGCGCCATATGATTATCTCCTACCGAAACGCCATGACTCCTCTCTTACCAAGTTTAGCGCAAAGCATATCTGCAGGATTTGAGGCATCCAAAGAAGGCTGCTTCCTGTGGGCCACAGATGCAGTCATTCGAGAATTCTCTGATGGAGCTGAGTATGTTGATCAAGCGACAAGTGATGCCGTATATCAATTCTTTGAGCAACAAGTTGTACTCTTTCTCAGAATTCTCAATGACCTGCCACCCCACCATCTCCCCGATAGTAAGATAGCTCCTAACCACCATAATCCCTCTCCCGTCTGTATATCAAATTTCTTACCATGTTCCAAAAACAGTGATCGAAGATGTTTTCCGCCTCCTAACCGACGCAGTACGCTACTATCCCAAAAAATCCCTAACCTCCCCATTAGCCGCACCAATTTTCTCCGCCTCCCTAAGCGCCCTTACACTTCAGCAAGTCGACCCTCTAACCGCAGTCCTCCATTACTGCCGCGATGTGCTCAGCTTTGGCTCCGACAAACCATCCATATCTGAATTCACAGACCCTAATGGTGAACCATACACTAACACCCCGGAAATTCGTTCCGCTGTGAAGCAGTTAATAACTTCACAAGGCGCGGTGCTCGTCCAGAGAGTGTTGACGGGGATGATGTTCAGTTTCCCTGACGACTGCTTCCCAGATGCCTCTGGGGTTCTGATGGCACTGTTTGAACTGATGCCGCAGGAGACGGCAAGCTGGGTAGAAGCGACTGTGCACATGCTGCCTGCTGGAACTGTTAAACCCGGCGAAAGTGATCGGCTTATGAAAACATTATCTGAAAAGATTCAGCAGGGTGATGTTCGGAGGACAAGAGTTGTTTTGCAAGGTTCGTAAATATTATTTCCCCCCTATAATTTTATCTATCTAAACTTCGGATTGAATTTATCCTCTGGTAACTAATATATATTTTCTATTTACTCTTTTCGCATTTTAGATTTCACAAACTCTTATCGACGGAGAAATGTAGCCCCCAGAGAGGGCCTGGGGAGGCTGGAAGCGGCCCGATTCAAGTTCAATGGCTAGTTTTTGTTATTATTTTTTCTTGTATGACTTTTCCCCATCTTTAACGACAGGTACGAACAAAGAGGCAAAACAATACTTTTTAGGCCCGATAATCCAACAAAAAAATTTTAAAAAAAAAAATTTAAAAAAATAACGATGAGATTTTTGCTTCATACTATGCATACCATATCGCTATCATAACCAGTCCCTCCCTCTTTTCATTTTATATATATTTTCTTTTACTTTTTGGGCATATGTTGTTTACACGGCGTTTTTTATGTGCATGTTTTTACTTTTATCTTTTCTATTTGGTGGCATTTTAGTAGACGAATGGACAAAGAAGGGTGAATTAGATACGCGGCCTGGGTTTTGCATGACGCTTGAGGAAGCTGGCTTGAGATGAAAAAGTTGGAAGAGTGTGTACAGGGGGCTAAAACAAATAACACGGATGTTGTTACGGTTTTAAAGGATGGGATGGGATGGGATGGGATTTGACTCAGCTGAGCTGGAACTGAGAAATGGGACAAAAAGTTAACGGTTAACTAGAATATTGCTGGGACATCGCCCTCATGAATGGGTGAATAATCAGGCATGAATGATTTGAGATAATTTTACACTTACCATTTATAGTAGTTATATTTTTTTTTTTTTTTCGTGATTCATTCTTTAGTGGTCTTCTCGAGATTTGCATGGCAGAATTAAAAGATCAGAAAAGAATACAGGGATAAGTCCTTCATTGGGCCTCCTCTCCTTTGATGCTATATACCCTCCCATCTCTCCGCCATGAGTTCCAGGATACAGTCTCAAAAGCACACATCACCGTCTGTGTATGGCTGTAACGTATGCGTATCATGCCCAACAATGCAACTTCGACTTCTTCTTCTCCATCCCTCCACTCTCCAAGTGGGCACTCCCCGACCGACATCTATCGGGCTTTCATCACCATGCAAGTGTCATGTCAACACTCCCGGCTACCCCTGCCAAAACCTGTTAAGGCATGCCAATTCCCAGAAAAGCCCGGTATCGGCACATAAACCCGCCCTGCCCAATGGCGATAGCAACCGTTTATTTATCTCTTTTTTTTCCTGCGTGTCAGGGGTCAAAACGACGCGCGCATGATCGGTTTCTCTTTTGAGAATAAAAATACTACTGCCTCTGACGAACATGACCATGTTCAGTCACAGGTTCGGGACACGAAATGGTAATCATGGATAGATCCGTCCATCCTACTTATCATTGTTTTTTTTTTTTTTTTTTTTTTTTTTTTTTTTTTTTTTGCGAAGAATGTGCACACAGCCAATCATATAGGCTGTAGCAGGGGGAGACTGATGGTTATTCTCATGGGGTTTCCTGTTCGCCAAATTAGCTTAACTTCCATGGAGACAACCGTACCTGGATGTGTTGTTGTGGAACGATTTATGCAGGAGGGAAGATGCTGGATAACGTTATGAAACGTACCTTCAAGTTGCGAGGATGAAAATGAGATTCCGATGTGTGGGGGGTGCTATGGGGCTGGATATATGCAACATCCTGTTCTCCAGTCCCGCATAACCTTCAACTCTTCTAGGGGAGGAGGTGTTGTGATGACGAGTGTCAGCCACGTACCAAAAGCGGGAACAAACGATTCTGCGCTGTGGTCAGGCTCGCGTCTGGGCTTGATCCCTTTTGCGCACTTGAAAGCAACCGTGGGCGCGGTCGAAACAGGGTTTTGTGACGTTCTTCAAGGACTCCTGACAAAGATTACAGATAGGCAGGATATCGAGCCGATTAGCTCTCCGGCGGATCATCACTGGCAGAGTTAGGGTCACCTATGAGATCAAGCCATCGAATGTTCTATCCTCGCAGAGTTCCAATATCTGATCATCTACCGCTATTTTCTTTCCCTGTCAAATAATAATAGGGCCTGAGAGAAGAGCTTTCTAGGCCCCCAAGCCTTCATGGCAGTCGCTTGGAAAAGACATCCATCCATACATGAATCCCGCCAGGGAAGCATAGGTTACTACCCCCGCAGAAAACGAGAACTACTGTCAAGAGATCTAGCTAATTTTTTTTTTTTTTTTTTTTTTTTTTTTTTTTTTGCTTTTTCTGGTCAAGGCACGAATGTCAAACACGCGTTTGAGCACGAGCCTGGGGCCGAGAGCTAAGAGAGGGTCTGTCAGCCAGTTGTCACAAAAGAAAAAAACGCCGGATGGTCATGGCCTGGAGATTGAGCCAAATGCAAGAAGTACGTACATAGCGTGTGTGCTGCATGGGCGAAATTGGGAACGCGGAAGGGCTAAGAGGCTCCCGGGTTATGAGGCTGGGCTTTTTGGTGGAGAGCCCGACGCAGGGAATCATGGCCGAGTCTATCATTGGTTTTGGCTTATGGATGGCTTTTTGTATGTAGGATGCAAGTTTTTTTTCATGTTGGGTTGTTTGCAATCCTTTAATGAAGGAGTTTAATCCGTAACATTATTAACGTGGACGGTACCGAGATATTTTCTGCAAATTGTTGAGATTACCGTCATTGGAGCTAGTAAACAAGTTGTTCTGGAGGGATGGCATTGCGTTGGCTTTTCCTCCTCATGAAGGAGTAGGTATCATCCAATTTGTATACAGCTCAACAGCCAAGATTAACAGCAATTAGAACTATGGAGGATTGGTTCGAGAATCGGTTTACCCCGCCTGTCGTCTGGCCCTTGGCTACGGCCCATGGGCAAAGTAGCGTTCACCCATCTCGTTTATCGAAAACAGTGCCGGTATATGTTAGTCCTATCCATGGTGATTCAGGGACTGCGGTTTTTGTTATAAAAGAAAGAAGAAAAGCAAGAAAAAGAACCAACCACGACATGATGGGAAATGGGAATAAAGTAACTAGCCGTGTAGGGCTGCAAGAACCCAACCTTTACATCTTGAAGCCGCCGAGAATGTGGAGTCTACAAACACTGGAGAAAAAGCCAATAATATTATTATATTGTAATTAGCAGGATCTGAGCCCGGATCATCGCGAACCTCTGGATTTTAATCCGGGATGTGACCTGTTCCTTTCGCCGGATTGAGCTAACTGGTTAGGTGGATGGATCGATGTAGAATCTCTAAATGAACAGATTAACATATGGGCAAACCCATATTTATATTTCTTTCTGTTGTCTGGAGGTTTATGCATCATCACTCTTCCCAAGGTCGGTTAAGATTGTAAGTGCATAACTACGTCATTATATTTTTGATCTTGGTCACTGGCGTCAACTTGTTCTCGGACGGGATCATTAAACTTCGAGGGCCGTTCGCCTTAACAGCCATTGTTTATAACTAAAAATTCCCACTGTCATTACTTCTCCTTTTCCTCCCCCTTCTTCAGCTTTGGTATCACCCATGTCTCCCGCAATTTGGAACAGCGGATATATTGTTCCGTCTGCAACGTCCAGCCCCGGCTGTCGCTTGTCCCAGGAAAACTCGCCTACATAACGTGTAAAGTTAACTAGCGAGCGGGGAGTTAACTACGCATCATTGGATCCAACTCATAAGCTTCCGACTCCCCAAACCTGGCGAATATCAAGGAAGCAATGACATGCACTCCCTCTTCCCCTCTTTATTTCTTCTTTTCAGCAGCATTGCTTGATTGGATATTCTGTCGCGCCATTGCCGCTGGATTTTAGCCTTTCTTGCCCTTCGAGAAACAAAATTTCTCGGGTCAGGTGTTGGGCAGCTTGACCTCCAGGGCTGAGTCTGTTCGGTCTCTCGGGTCCGTGGCCATTTCTGTCACGGAGAGTTTTTAATTTGAGAAGATGATGTTGATCGCAGTATGATGTCGAAACATCGTATAACTTGCATGCGGGGGGGGGAATTTCCCTATCTAGTCGCGTTGCCTATGAAGGCAGGATTTCATTACCGTGTTGTTTGTCTTCTTGATACAGTCAGTCATCGCGCTAGAATGTAGTTACGGTTGCGACGTTGGTCGCATAAGGTTCAATTGTGATTTCAGGCATTCACGAGCAAGTATTGCCAAAACGCTTTCACTAATGGACTCGAGATATGTGGGAGACTTTCAAGGTAGTTATTCTCAATGATGCCTTGTGTTCTTCTGACACTATGCCCCACATTTACATTTCGATCGGGTTCAAACCATGCGGTTCGTTTATCCCCCCACACTGTTTTGGTCGTGGTACCCCTAGCTGCTGCTCATTACCGGCTGGTTGGGTAAGTCGTTATTGCATATCTAACACGCGAAGGTGACAACTCTTGATCCCTTTTATTTTAAATTTTTTATTTTTTATTTTTTATTTTTTTATTTAATTTTTTTTTTCCCCTTCACTGGCGTTTGTTTCCCTTCTAGCGGCAGATTCGGATGAAGAAGCTAAGGCACGATCGAAGAGAGAAATTAACTTTGCAACTTCGATGTGCAAAGGCGTCCTCTGGAAAGAGTGCATGTGTTTATTGAGGATCGTTCAATTCGTCCCCTGCGTTCTTTTGGAATAACTGGGATTTTAAGATAGCAACGATTTGCGGCTTCATTTCTCAGTTTTTCTGGATGGATCCGCTCGCCGTGTTTCATCTCTTCCAGATTTATGGGGTCATCTCATTTCCCTTAAAATAGTACGGACGAGCGCAATTATTAGATAACCGACCATCAGCAGGAATTAGTTAACTAAGATTCGATATGATTTCAAGGGACCATGTTCAGGGATCGCTGTTCACCGTGGACCGTGCCGGACCGTGACGTTAGGCATAAATAAACCGTAGTAAGTAAACCATCTCTCAAAACGGTGGACCCAGGAGTCAGGACAAGCGAGCAGTCAACGCCATTCCTACCGAGGCAGGAGGAACGATGTGAAAAGTTGAAAAACAAAAAACAAAAAAGAAAAAGAAAAAGAGAGCGATGTCAACTGATCGGCTATTACTGGATTAATGCTGCTATCCATGGTTGAGGCAAGGGAAGCTATCCAACTGTCCAACCAGCCATGCTCTTCTCCAGCGGAACCTTGGAGCAATCAATGTCGAGTTATCAGGGAACATGGCTGGGATTGATTCTGGCAGCGGAACCGTGGAATCTGACTCTCCTCCTCGTTGTTTGCCCGTACATTTATATGTGACCATGCAGCCTATAATTGAGTGAGAGTTATCCGAAGGTTCGCGTTCAGGTTCCCCAGATTACTCACTCCTGCTTGAGCTCAACACTGGATCCGAGATGGGGAGAAAAAAAAGAAAAATCGTCATCCAGCGAAGAATCAGAAAAAAAAAAAAGAAAAGAAAAAGCCAACATTGCAGCTGGTCATCTGCTCGATGTTTAGGGTGATGTTTCCAGCGTGTTCGTTGGCTGCTTGGTGTGGTCGCTCGTATTGGAGTTATCTTGCTCGAGACAGGCTTACAGGAGGTTTAGCTCGCTCGCCCGCTCGCTCGCTCCTCGTCGTCGTCGTCCTAGTCATCCTGGTTCGCAGTTAGCTGTTGCAGTTTAACCAGGCCGGTCCTAGCACTGGACACACAATGAGTTTAACAGTTCGTTCTCTCGAGTTTTAGTGTTGTCGATTCTTCCCTCTCTGAAGGGACTTTCTGTCTTTCCAACCTCCTCGCGTTCTCCAGCATCCATCATCGCCATCTGCTTCTTCTGCTTCTTTCTTCTCCTTTCCTCCCTTACAACATAAAATGATTTTGTTTCTTGTAATGCTTACCCATCCACCGTGTGTCCTTCATATTTTGCATGTCGCAACCTAGCGAACCCTCTGTTGTTGATGTCCATTTGCGCCTGGCCCTTCTACCCCTCACCCGCCCTGTCAACCTCGAGCTCTGATGGGCGCCCGAGGTTGCCGCGCCATTCCTATAGATTGCAGCAAGGGCATTGGGTAGAGTAAACCGTTACGGGCGCCATTGGCGAGTAAATATATACATTAGATATACATATCATTCATTCCAGCTATGATCCTCGCTGTCGGATCAATGGCAGATACCAACACGTTATCCCACATTCGTCGACGAAGACGCGCTGATGAACCAGGCCCCTCGTCTGAAGTAAATGATCAGAAAGATAGCGGGGAACCTGCGCAGCTCCAGAGTGACGCATCCAAGAAGCGGAAGAGGAGCAGGAAAGGTGATTCAGAGAAGAAGTTCTACTGTAAACATGAGGGATGCGGGAAGAGCTATTCCAGAGCTGAACATCTATACAGACATCAACTAAACCGTACGTTACTTTCTGTCCTCTTATATGTTCTATTCTCTATTGCTACGTATTTTGTTATTTTTCTCTCTATTTTGTCTAAATGCTCTTTTGTCTTGGATGGATGCTAGCATCATATTTACTAGGTGGTTCTTTTCTACTACATCTCTCACCCATTCTGTTCCTAAGCTTAAAGCTGATTTTGTTTTTTTCTCAAGATTCCCCAAAACACATCTATCGCTGTGACTTCCCAGACTGCTACCGCTCCTTTGTTCGTCAGGATCTTTGTGTCCGTCATCGAGAGCGTCACACTACTCATGGTTCTCAGCTCCAAAAACGCGACAATTTCACCCATGCCGCCAGCGCGCTTGCGTCGGCGGCTCCTCCACCGCGAAACGATGCCCATCCCCCTAGCGGAAATGGACATATTACTGCGGGGTCGCCAACTGATGGCCCGACTTCGCCATACCTGAAGCAAATATCATCTGCGGATGCGCCAGGGAACATGTCAAGACCACGACTTCCCAGGTCGTCCTATACCGCCACAAATTCGAATCCCACAAATTACCCTAATTCCGCTTCCGCCCCTGTCCGCCCCGCTTGCTCGTCCTCGTCCGCTTCCATAGAAAATCATTTGCAACCACTTACACCACAAGAGCAATATGCTGGCCCTGACCCGCGAATAAAACGGTCCAACAGTTCCAGTAGTTATTCCCTCAGCCCCAAACAGCAATCCACCTCAATATATCGCTCTTCCAATCGTCAGCCCGGATACGGAAAATATGATAACCAGCGTTATCCAAACACCCCGTTTAGCCCGCCAGAGCTTGCCCCCCAAATCGACCAACCCTCTGACCCATCAAACGTTCAACCGCGCAGGCTATCGTCCACTGGACCCGCACTCTCGGGTTCCACTACATACATGTCTGTTCCAGGCATACCAAGCAATGTATCTTTGGTTACAGATCCAAATACGTATATTTCACAACAAAATTTGCATATGACATCCTTACCACCACCAGGTTATTCGAATTTAACCATGCCACGGGCCACCTCTTCATCGATTGCAAATGCGATATCCAACGGTTTTGGTGCTCTTGATCCTTCCCCTGGCCTAATGGGAACTGGTTCTTCAGTTACAGAGTGGGATGCTATATCATCTTATACCCTTCCTATCTTTGGCGGTGAAACACTAAACCGTTCTCCGTTTGCAATGACTGATGATTTTACTGCTTGGTTATTCAATGAGCATTCCAACACCTCATCTCCAATTGCTTATCCAAATGCGTCTGGCATGATGCCTAACTATGCAGCTCCGACTGCCGCCCACCTCCATGGACCTTACTATCCAAGCGACGCCGCTCTGACCAGCTACTTTACCAATGTGACCCAGCAACAGCATCCGATGAGTGTAACGAGCCTTCTCGATTCTGAACCTCCCCAGTCGATCATATCAGTGGAGAAGCGAAATGAGTTGCTTGACCTCATTCAAACACGCTTTAACGAAAATAACCATGCTGCAATTAAAAAGCGGAAAGATTCTTTGCTAGAAGGTAATCTCGAAGAAGATAGTCACATTCTTAGTTTACGAATGATGCAAACATATATTGGTTCGTACTGGCGTCACAGCCACGACCAACTTCCCATTTTGCACAAACCAACATTTTCGGCGGACAAAGTACCGAATCTTCTCCTCCTCGCTATTATGTCCATTGGCGCCTCAACACTCGACAAAATTCATGGGCATGCTGTTAGTATCGCTACCTCAGAACTGGCCAACTTTTTAATCTGGCACATCCGATGGGAGATTTTTATGGATGCGGATTTCCAGCCACCAGCGAAACTTTGGGTATTTCAGGCGTTGTTGCTTCTCGAAATCTACGAGAAGCTGTACTCGACACGGGCGTTGCACGAACGTGCGCATATTCATCACGATACCACATTGACCCTAATGCGCCGTGGGAGTTCGTTAATTGGTCGATCGCCATTTGACTCTCCACCAAGCCTTCGAGATGACACACAGAACAGATCAACAACAGGATCTGGCACCAATTCTGCTTCCGAATGTGGGGCGGGAGAAGAGTCCTGGGCTCATTGGATCAAGGCGGAAGCCACCCGCAGAGTGGCATTTGCCGCCTTTGTCATGGATTCGACGCACGCCACAATGTTTGGCCACTCCGCGAAAATGGTCGCGCATGAATTGCGCCTTCCACTCCCATGCGATGAAGCCCTATGGTCAGCAACAAGTGCTGCGGAAGTTTCAAGAGTGCAATCCAGTCTGCATGCCAATGGTTTTAAGGCAACAATGTTTCTGGATGGGCTGAAGAAAACGCTGAATGGCCAGAAAGTTCGAACCAATTCCTTTGGTCGGACGATTATCATGGCCGGTTTACTAAGTGTCAGTTGGCATATGAACCAACGAGATCTCCAAGTCAGCTCATTGGGGGTTGCCCAAGCTTTAGGAGGGAGAGATAGATGGCGATCGTCTCTACTGCGTTCATTTGATAATTGGAAACGGGACTTTGACGAGGCTTTGGCAGAGTCCAACAGTTCAAATTATTCATCCACCTACAGGCAATATACCTTTGACGATGACGTCATTTTCGAATCTCGTACCGTTTTGCACCACCTTGCCCATATGGCGTCGCACGTTGATGTGGTAGATTGCCAAATATTCGCTGGAGCAGGTCGTCTACTGGGCCGCTCCATTACACCAAAGGACTATAGCACTGCGCGGGAAAAGATGACAGAACGCTGGGCAAACAAAGCCGCCGCACGAGACGCAGCTTTCTTCGCGCTAAAATTTCTCGTCCAAGTACTCAATGCGGAGGATGGCCGTATAGGGATCCGCCACGGCCCCACGGGCTACATTGATATGAACGAATACAGCGCCCGCGATGATTTCCTCCTCAATCGACCGTGGGTGATTTACTTTGCCGCCCTCGTGGTCTGGAGTTATGGATACGCGCTGGATGGAGCGATAACCCCACCCGTTCCGGAACTTCTCACTCCAGAAGAGCAGCGGAGGGATATGCATACGTTTTTTGACCGGGTTGGTGGCGTGAGAACGCCGGAAGAGCTTCTGCATGTCCGTGACCGGAACCGTTGCATGGGCCTCCTCATGATTTTGCAGGAGACCTTCTCCCACGCCCGATGGGAACTCCTCAATGAGGCTTCCAACCTACTTGGGAGCTGTATTGAAAAGTTGAAAGGGGCTGGCGACCCATCCAACCCTTCATGACGCGAGGGCCTGATTTTCTCTCTTTCTTTTTTTGTTTATTTACTTGGCCTAATCATCTATAACAAAAAGGGGTTTGTGTCTTGTCTTACATACCACGGTGTTTCTCATATCTTTGCCATATACCTGCGCTACGACGTCTTATTGCATTCATGTCCTTTTCCTTTTTACACTTCCCTTCGTGGTTTTTATTTTTTATTTTATTTTATTTTTTTTTCCCTCTAGTTTATCTAATTATCCTCATTTATATACCCTATCATTTCGTATATGTTCGTACCAGAGGAAAAAAGGAGAACAAGGAAAAGGGAAGAGTGCTTCCCTGACTACAACTACAACTGATCTATTTAGCAACGGTGGTGTTGGGTTTTGCGTACTTTCCCCCTTTTGCAAATACCCCCCTTTCGAAACCTGTCATTTGTTTCTTTTCCTGCCTGCAAAATTGAAGCGATAGTTTTGACTAAAAGAAAGAAAGAGGGTAAACCCAAGGTTTTCTAGAAAAGTTGGATTTGTCAATTGGCTGCTCGTTTGGATTCGAGCGTGATTGCTCCCTTCGCTTTTTAAAATCTTTCCGTTGATTGTTTTTCGTCACAATACCTCTTTTCTGATTACCTCTTTTTCTGATTGCTGTTTTCAGCTGCATATAGTTTGCCTTTCTGCACAAATATCCGCACGTTTTACGTACACACAAATATACATGCATGCATACATTCATACATACATATATATATATATATATATATATATATATTTTCCCATCGTGCTATCTTGTCTGTCTCAATATTTTCTCCTTTTGTTGCTCTTGAGGCTAATCTGTTATTATGATCATGGTTACTAAGGCTAGCGCTATTTCAACATATTTAATATAACTACCCCCTCCAGTGTATGCTTATATATCTTTGTTGTGTTTTAAGATCAGTAGTTTAGGGGGAGGGTGATTGAGAATGACTGATTCTTTTTTCAACCGTTTTAAAAGATCTATCTCATGTCGATTTTTTGGAAAATTATTTCTCCCCGATGATATGAGCGAATTATCCCCACAATCGTCTTTCTTCCCCTCCCAAACCCTCCCCATATTCTTCTCGTAGGCCAATAGACTTTTTTTTGAATTATATTGGTTTTCCTGGAAATGTAAAACGCCTTCCCGTTCGATTAACGGTTTGTAGTCAGCCGTCGTCCCTAAGAGGCGATGTTCTACGCGACGCCATCTCAGATCAAGACGTGTTGTGTTTTTGGACGCCACACAGTCTTTTAGAGAAGTGGTTTAAGTCTCAGCATCCATTTAATTGTTTGAGTTTTACACAATTGATCCTGCAACATCGTTGAAGGACTGGACTATTAAACGACAACGTCTTGGAAAGGGAAAGGTGACCTGGCTTTTTTTCACTGTGATGTGGCAGCTAAGCCGCTCGAAATGAGGTTTGCGGGGTTGCCATGTCGATTAGTCAGGGCATTCATGTTTGATGGCCTCCGATGCATGTCCAACATCAATTATCGAATTTTTGAGATGATATAATATGTAAGGGATATATGCCCAGGCACCGAAGAGAAACAACCAAAACTTTTGAACTTATCTGCACTTTTCACACCTAAATCCAGCCGACCCCATCATGGACACCTCAGGTGAAACAGATCTAACCACTCTCCTCGCATCTCTCGATCCAATCCTCGATCCAGAGATCTTCGTCTTCCTCAGCACCACCCAGCCCATACACGCTCTGCCCCTCCAATCCCTTCAACCACAAATGCTATTCCAGGAGGCTGAGGGTCTCACCATCATTACATCAAAACACTTGGCGACAACCCATGGCTTCGCAGACCAGGCCACGTTTCCCTGTCGGAAGATATCTTTGAAGGTGCACTCGAGCCTAGAGGCAGTGGGCCTGATTGCGACAATCGCGGCGAAGTTGAAGGAACGGGGGATTAGTTCCAACGTAGTCAGTGGTTACTTTCATGATCATATATTTGTGCCTGTAAGCCGGGAAGATGATGCTTTAGAAGTGCTCTGCCAGTTAGCAAGGGAGGCGAGGCCTGTGAGATGAATATCCCCCATCCCCCCCCTACCTCTCTCTCACATGCTCTCAAAATAGGGAAATTTTGTTTAATCGAATAAGAGATAGAGAGCGCACACTGCACAATAATATTTCCACTCAATTATGCGGGAGCTTCCTTCATTGTGTGTGTGTAAACCCCCCGGAAAAGTGTTTTCTCCACCGACTGCTAAGGCTCAGGGTTAATTTTTTCCATATGTGTCAGATACCATACGTAGCTGCTAATTGAAACCCGTATTGGTTGTCTGTCGGGACGACAGCGATCTCCTGTGTCTGGAGTCAAAAGCGGGCATTGTGTAAAGTATGAAATGATAGAGAAGTAAGAATATAAAGGAGCCCCATGCATAAGGGGACAACAATAGATGCAAGTTGGAAATACTTATTCCAGAGGAAACGGTATTCCGACGTTTTGATGCAATGATGAGATGTTTAGATGAGATGATGATGTTGTTGTTGTTGTTGTGGTCTGCGTCAAGATCTATAATAAATAAACATGGAATGCCGAAACAGCGGGTGTTGGGTTGTTGCAGCAACCATCCTGATAGCATCCTAGAAATCTCTCCAACAGCTAACAAAACAACAACTGACGATTATTCCCCACCTCCAACTTCTCAACTTCTCACCTCCTCAACTCCTCAACTCCTCGTTGTCTCCCCGTCAAAACCTTCCGTGACAGTAACCCTTCTATATTTTCCCATCCCCCCTGACCACCGCACAAACATATAAACAATGGTAGGTTGCAATGTGTTCTCCCTGCTGTTGTTGTCCTCGGGTTGCAGCAAACCTAGTCCTCCCAAACTTCACCTCAAGCTTCACCTAGCAAAGAGGCTCCAAAACTGGTGTGCGGTTTGACTGCGCTTCCAGCTTCCAAGTCGTGGACTGTACAATAACTTGTTTACCTGCGGCGAGTCCCTCTTGCCAGAAAGAAGCGTGCAAAACATACACAACCCTCCCTTTATCCCATTGTATCCCACTGCTTCATCCTCCATGCCCCTGTGGAATCTGCTCCTTTATCATCCTGCCTACACTCTCTCTTTTGAAGCCCTTGCCACTCCCTGGTCTATTCTCTCCCATATAGTACATCGCGACTCCAAAACACCACCAAATCAACCACAGCAAAACCCGCAGCAATGGACAATTCACGCCCCTTCCAGCACAGCCATGCTAACCAAATGGACAACTCACAACATCAACAGGCATCCACAAACTACAAAGAAGCATTCTCCCTCTTCGACAAGCGCGGCAACGGCCGTGTAGCGCTCGATTCCCTAGGAGACCTGCTCCGCGCTTGCGGCCAGAACCCCACCTTAGCTGAGATCAGAGATCTGGAGAAGAGTATTGGCGGAGACTGTGAGTTTTGTTCTTTGGAATCAGAGAAGGAAAATACGATGATATAAAAAATATATGTAAACCGATGAAATGGGGGCAGACTGACCATGTGGATGGACATTCTAGTCGATTTCGAAGCTTTCTCTAAAGCCCTTAACCGGCCAGGCGGATTTCGCGATCCTGGTGAGCCGGAAGAATACTGCCGCGGATTCCAGGTGTTTGATAAGGACATGACCGGATTTATTGGCGTGGGCCAGCTCCGTTATAGTCAGTGGTTCCGATTCTTCCTTGCGCTGTTATCCGGAGATGTATTAATGACATACGTGCGGTGATGTTGGTTTGTCTGACTCTTGGATTTTTTATTCCCCCCCCCCCCCCCGTAGTCCTAACAAATTTGGGCGAGAAAATGACCGACGAAGAAGTTGATGAGCTTCTTAAAGCTGTTGACACGAGTTCCGGAGAGATCAACTATACTGGTATGGCATCCTCCTTTTTGCGACAGTGTCGCAGGAACAATTAATCCCAAATCGCATCTCCATATCTCATCAAATCCCACTAACATAATAATACACAGAGCTTGTCCGGACCATCCTGGCCAACTAAACAACTGTTTTGATTTCACAATTCATCCTTCATCCTACAAGTATTATATCCCGCTTTTTTTTGTCGCGCATAGTATCCTACTGTCTACGACGAGATGTTTTCTTTTTTGCCCCTTGGTAACCACCCGTCCATGGCGGTTCGAATCGCATTTTTTGAATCCGCACCACCGCAGTGATGGGGAAGGAGGTGGAGACAAAGACAGCTTTAGATAGAGAGTGGTTTTTGCATTTGCTCTATTTTATTTTGGCGAATGGTGTGTCTTGAGAGCTGGTATAACGTATGGGATATGTTGCTATGATGATGGCTAGAGTTAACGAGCTAGATGTTAGGATCGCCCATGATTCCATATCGAACGAGGTTATTTCTCGTGTTTCTTCATTTCCCTTTTGTCATAACAATGTGGAAATTTAGTTGGTGCTTAATCTTTCTAAGATTCAGCTTTCGATGCTATGTATTTTGATATTCCCTTTCGATATATCCACCCTCACTTCTTCCCCTTCTCCCAACACGTCCACTCCGCCCGCTGAACCATATTCTCCCCCTTCCCCATCTCCTCTGTCTCCACCAAGGAACCGGGTAAGATATAAACAACCTTCTCCGCCTTCTTCCTCCGTCTCTTCCGTTCCTTCTCTTCCCCATCCTCGTCCCCATTCCCACTACTTGCAATAACACCAACTTTATTATCCGCAAAATGCACCTCGTCCAACGCATATCCCATAACCACCCGACACCGTCCACAGCGCAGCGGCAACCTCTTCTCAAACCCATCTTCACGCCGGATCATGGTTGGCTGGCGGTCTGGTATCGTTGTTGAGAGGAGGATGGTGTAGTGTTTCTGCTGTTGCTGTTGTTGTTTTGAACCAGACATCGTTTTCGACTTTTCGTTCTTCTCGTTCTGGGAGTTGCTGGCATCCCCGGGTGCGGCTTTATTTTCATTTTCATTTTCACTTTCGTGTTCAGCACCCTCTTTATCACACCCCTCCACCTCTTCTTCCTCTTCCTCTTCCTCTTCCTCTTCTTCCGGGACGGCTTTCGGAAGCGGTAATATCAATGCGTGATCTCGCGCTGGCTCGCGGCGGCAGGGCAAGCTGGCGAGATCGCGGGTTGAGGCGAGGAGGAGGTGGTTGCAGAAGGCGCAGTGGTAGGTTTTTATCGGGAGACGCGCTTGCGGTTGCTTCTGTTGCTGGGGGATTCGTTGGAGGTCTAGGTCTGTGTTTGTTTCTCGGTTTGGTGATTGGGATTGGGATTGGGATTCTGGTTGTGGTGGTTGTGAGACGAGCGCAGCAGCTGGCAACTTCTTGGGACTCGCTGTCGCCATCCTTTGAGTTTTGATATGTTCAGAAGCAGCTTTGTAGTTACGAAGCGTCTAGGTCTAGCTTGAGGTAGCTCTTTTGTTAGATGCTGTTGGGATTTGGTGATGGCGGTCGCTTATGGAGAAGAGACTGAGCAATTGAGTAGCTCGACAGTGGAAACTGGTTCCCTAAGTCTATTTATTTATGGATTATTTATGGGGGGGGCGGGGGGGGCAAGCATAATCCACGGATGGTTTTGAACTCGGATATGCCAAAGAATAGACCCCAGCTGGCGGCTTCGTGGTTGAACTTCAACTTTCCAAAAAGTTTTGAGGTTTCGAGGTTAAGCTCACGTGGTCTTATCGATAAGGCTCTTTCTTCACTCATAACTATATGTTGGGCATAAGTTGTTGGAGCCTAGGCTTCCTATTATGGACTAGCACACTGCACAGTAGTATAGATAAGTTACGTTGCTGGGCGCACGTGCCGCCCCGCCACACGTGATCATAGTGTGTATGGATTTAGCTGGCTCCTTAACCATCCCACATCATAAGACATCCGCTTGTAAGGCACTCAGGATGGATATACATGGATTGCAAGGAGAAGGGCAACATATTGAACATTAAGCATAGCAGTAAATATTTATATCTGAATCTTCCTATTCCTCAACCCATAATCCGTCCGAATCCCTTCTCCTCTCCCTGCTAAGTAAAAGACGGGAATATCTAATCAACATACCAAGTCTATCTAGCGGATTATGTATAACGACACGTGCGTTAAAAAAGATCATCCTGCATCAATTGTAAAGTGGCATACAGCGTCTACCCCTCGGGGCTAAACTGCCCTAATTATGCAGTCCAAGCTCTCTATAGAATGAATCCATGCTGGGTTCGCGGCCCAGGAACAGCTTGAGAGTTTTCATCTCATCCTGGCTGCCACCTGGTTTCAGGACGGTATGGCGATACCGTCGGCCTTCTGTCGCGTTCATGGGGTTTTCTTTGAAGACGGAGTAGAACATGTCTGCTGAATACACTAGGGAGCTGGATGGTAGATAAAAACGAGATGTTAGTTGAGGGAAGTGAGTAAAATATAAACGAAAGGGGGGAGGGGCAGGGGAGGAAGGTAAATAATTACGAATGGGGGAAAAGGAGTAAAGGGTATGAAAACGAACCTAAGGTAACCGTAATATCCTGCATCGTAACCACCAATAAGATGCCCGAATGTCGCTTGCCCATGTCCCCAGTCGTTTCCTTGTCCGAGAACCTCAGGGCCATCAAGCTGAGAAATCTCCTTGCGCAACTTATTGTATGTTACGGAGATATCCAAATTTTCGATGGCAGCGTGGTCAGCAGGTTCGTGCACAGCCATATCGAAGATACCAAAGTGAAGCTGGCGGAGGTTGAAGAGGGCGTCATTCACATGTTTAGTCTTGATCAGGTTGTTGATTAGGTCATCAGGGATCTTCTGGGCTGGCTTTGGCTTGTCGCCTGCGGTCTCCTTCCAGGCCTGGTAATATTCATCTGAAAGGAAGGAATAGTGTGTGCTGAGAGATTTGATCTGTGACGGTGTCCAACACCAGTTTTCCAGCATCTGACTGGGTGCCTCGACAAAGTCACGGACGGTGTTTGTTCCATGGAAGCGGGAGTATGTTGTTCTGGAGACTAGATCGTGGATTCCATGACCAAGTTCGTGGAAGAAAGTTACAACTTCATCGTGCTTCAGCAAGCTGGGCTTCTTTGCCGTTGGCTTGGAGAAGTTGCACACCAGTGCCGTGGCGGGATATCGGCGGCTTCCATCCGAGGCAACGAATCCCTAAATGACGTCGCCATTAGTCCATGTTGAAACGGAACCTTTATGTTGAAGGGAAACGTAGAGCTTACCGGCTGCAGATTGAAGTTTGCGGCATGGCCATACTTCCCTTCTCTGGGAAACAAATCAAGATACAAGTATCCCACAAATCCACTCCCCTCGTCTTCATCATCCCAGACACTGAAAACCTGGACTTCCTCGTGCCAGACAATGTCGTTACCATTGCCAGTTTCTGAGATCTTATCCCTCTCTTCTCCAGTTATCTCAACAAACACTAGTCCAAATAGCTCTTCGAAAATCTTCAACATTCCCTGAATCGTAGTCTGCAATGGGAAGTACTCCGCAATCAACTGCTGATCAAGAGAAAAGTCCTTTTCCAGCATCATGCGATCATAGAAGCGGTGGTCCCATAGGTAGTAATGGCCATCAAACGGTTGGTTTGAAGCGCGAGACTTAATATCAGCCTCTTTAAGCTCCTTGAGAGCTTTGAGCTCTTTTTCACCCCCTGCCTTGAGTCGTGAAAGCAGGCCTCCAAGGAAGTCATCCACGGTCTTGGGAGTCTTTGCCATCTTATCCTCAATCCTAAACGTGGCATGGTTGGGATATCCGAGAAGGCGGGCAGCTTCATCTCTGAGAATGACTGCTTCTTTGAACAATGGGACATTCTGGTTACACTTGTTCTCGTTGGCAATTGTGACCTGTTTCCGCACCTCGGCGTTGGTGGCATACTTCAACGTTGGGAAAAGATCAGGGTACTTGAACGTCACTCGTAGTTTTCCTTCGTTCACTCCTTCACCTTTCTTCAGGACGGACAATACGTCCTCTGGGACACCAGCCAGCTCCTCTTTTGTAAACCACAGGCCCCCACTCTCTTCATTCAAGTTCTTCTGGAACTCGATGCTTATCTGACTTAGCCGTTTCTTGATTTTCTTGAACCTATCACGCTTTGGTCCCGCGGGGATCCCCAGGCCATTGCGGATGTAATCCTTGTGCTCTTTTTCCAAGAGTTTTTGCGACTCGGGATCTAGCTTCTCGCCCTTCTTCAAGGCAGCGGCAACGAGCTTAAACAGGTCCTCACGCATGGCGGACTCGATTGCAAAATCGTCCATTAGCTTCTCTGCCTCGGATGAAGCATCCCGTAGCTTGCTATCCGTCGAAATCGCCTGGTAAAAGCCTATAATATGCGATTCAAGCGCCATGAGGTTCTCGTCTTGTGCCAGTGGCAGCAGCACTTTGGCAAAGGTAGCTTCTTCCTCCGTAACCTTGGCCGCTACGGCATCTTGCGCTTTACGGGAATTGCTGATCATACGTTTGGTGTCTTCGATTAAGGAGCTAGGGGTGGCAGTAAAGACAGGCGGGGCCTGCGGAGGGGGCTTCAGCTTTGTCGGGGCCATTGTTGCGGTAGTGAGAGGCCGTTGAGATATGGAGGTTTGGAAGACAGCGGTAGTAGGCTTAAAGGGGGTTGCGGCTGGCGAAGTTGTTACCCGAAATTTGCTCAAGAGTAATTGAAGCCTGGGAGCGGGGATACGGAGCGGGTGAGCCAGGATGAAGGATATCACAACAAGGAGGGAGAGACAACCCAGGAGGCGGAAGAGGTGAAGCGAGCTAGACCGTAACCCCGCCAGGATGAATGAGCCTATGGGGACGAGCAACGAAACAAGCAACAATGAAGAGCGACCTAAGATGACACTCGGGAGGACAAAAGAAGGGACCAGTCTCGAAACACGCAGCCACGCACAAATCAACAAAATAAAATTATTGTTTGTATAATATTTCTTCAATAGAGTAAAAACATCAGAGAAGGTCCTGGCTCCCTAAACGATGTGTTGGGTTTTCGGAATGTTATTTTAAGAACCGCTTTGAGTTTTGAACCGAATGTTGGAAGGTTTGCGTTTCTCTCATTGGTCAACTTAGTCACCCGGATCATCGTCTGCTTTGGTATCAGGCCAACAAACTTCAACTAACTGCCTACAGCGAGGAACAATCTAAACAGAAAGTTATTCTAGTAGTTATTACTAAAAGCTACATAACTACAATTACGGCAGTTACCATAATCATCATCATTATGGCAATTACCGCAATTCTACAGGACGTTCCTATGAAGCAGAGTGGAACTGTATTCTTCTTGAGAGATATAAAAGCTGTATGTTTCTCTCTGTCATGTTTCTTCAAAAGGCAACGCCCTTTTCATTTCCTTGTTTCTCAGAACAGTCTTCCCAGTAAGTCAGTCCCGGATATCTACCTCTACACGGCGGAAGGCTGCTCAGGTCAATTTGTGAGAGCTTCATGTTCGTGACAAAAGACTAAGTGAAGTGTACAGATTAATCAGAAAATCTCACAAGACCCAAGCAACTAGCAGCAGAATAGCGATGAACTGGAACGACGAATCTTTCCCTTGTGTCATCCGCCAGGCCCGTGAGGCGACTTAATGCATACCGCGCCATCTATACACAGGGCAGACAATGGCTAGATGCCAACCTGTCAGGTGTGGGATATGCCCATGAACGAATTGAGTCATCAACTCTCGTTCCCCTTTCTCCCGAGGATCAATATGACGACTGCATGATTGCCGTACTCCGCTCTGAGACGGAATGCTATGGGTGCGGTGTATGCCACAAGACGGTTTAAACTTAAACGAGAACAATGTTCGCATCCGAGACTTCGAATACAATTGGACATTCAGACTGAATAATGGCGGTTCTGGGCTTAATAAAAAGCGGCACAATATACATCTTGCTCAAATCCTTTGTCCGCTACATTATTTTCATTTCAGAGGTCATCGAGGCATTCATCTGGAAAACATTATTTCGATATCTGCCTGGGCTTACTCCCGGGACGAATATTGGAATGAGTACCAGAAAGGAATAGAAGTGGAGTACGAGGGTCCATTTTCTGGCTCTACTATCTACAGACTGGGAGAATGCGGTCCCGGCTCAAAAATTCAGAAAAATAAGATGCACCGCATCGATGGCCTAGGCGGAGAGCATATCACGAAAGTTGATAGGTGGGCAACAGAATTTAAGAAGGGTTACATTGTAAGTCACTTCTACTTTCTTCGATTCAGCCAGGCTCTACAAGATTATTCCTTTTAACGACTGAGGTGCATTTATAATCCCAGGTCTTTACCAATTGGGGCAATGAAATGAAATTTACAGAAAACGGTGAACCTGAACCTGAACCTGGACATGAAATGCGCGAGGCGCATTTTGTCCTGCAAACGATGAGGTGATAACTGGATTCTATTGTGTGTTGTGTGAGTGGTTACCTCTTCCTAATTTCCGCTTGTCTACCCCTTTCTTTCTTTTTTTTTTTTTTTTTTTTTTCTTTCTTTCTTATTTTTATTATTTTTTTAAAAATTATTTTTTCCGGGTTTGCTCCCATATTGCGAAGCATCATGAGGATCTCTTTACCATCTGCTGACAATTGCGGTTTTCTGAATTAGGAATTAGGATCCAGAGGTATGGGACGCCTCGGATTCATCACAAAGAAAATAGGTGTATCTGAAAGCGCAGCACGTATTTCACAGAACCTCTCCACTCATGTGATTCGCAAAAGGAAATATCTTCAAGGAGCGAAGGGCTCTCCAAATGAAAAAAGCCCTCAGAGTGATTTTCCAAATAATGATTGTTTTTGGCTTACGGTTAGCAACAACTTTGATCAACAAAAGTCGTAGTTGGAATAAAGCTGTACGGATGAACTGGATGATTGGTTTGGACATATTTTTCTAGATATCTAACATATACATGCTTCAGTTTTTGAAAACTATATACTTCTGTCCTCTGCTTGATTCATTTGCGACGGGCATCGTTGAAATAGTCTTCTGCACAATTCCTCGTAATGGACGCGGGACAACTTCGGGAGATAGTGAGCACAATTTCCACAAAAATCTTTTTCCAAAAACCTAAATAATTAAGTTCGCCAGGTAAGAATAATGCAGCTCCATCATTAACATTATTATTACAATATTTATTCTCGTTTAACTAGGAAGGCTAACAATAATGTCCACAGTCTATATTTGGAACTATATTATCTGCTTATCAGGTCCCTTGATCAACATGCCAACCTACCAACTCTCCTGCTTTTTTTTAACTCCATACAAATTCCCCCTTGATCGCAGCTCAAACTTGAAAGCTCCCCATCTCGTTTCACCCCGCTTCTCTGGACCAAAAGATAACAGATAAGAAAAAGAAGAGAAGAGAAGGGAAATTGAAAAGCGGTAGCCTCTGTCAGACGCAAATGAAAAGTGAGAAACCTTTTAACTAGCTAGTTAATAGGTGTGCTTATTCCAAACTTTTCGATGATTATCTCCCCCCATTTTGAAGCGCCATATTCCAGCCCCGATGATCGGCGCATCGCATCTCAAGCTTCTTAGGCACAATGGAACCCGGGGATCCCAGTGGTAATCAGGAAACAATGGGAAAAAAAAAAAAGAAAGAAAGGAAAAAGAAAAAGAAAAGAAAAGAAAAGAAAAAACAGCCATGGAATAAGCTAGTCCCGTTGTTCGCTCTCTACAGAATTTTTCACCCACCCTAAACTCCCACATTTTATCACGCAGTCTCACAGTCACAGCCGTTGACGGACAACTGAAAATTTTTTGTTGATAAACGTGCTGAACAGTATCGAGCAGTTATCCCGTCTAGGCGGTTGGTTATCAACTACTAGTAGTTACTAGCTACATAGATTTTTATTATTACTTACCTCATCATGCAGCTTGTGGATTGCTCTGTATCACACAGCTACTCCGTAATTAGCTGGTTATTGTTCCAGGGGTTTAACTCCACATATTTTCCTCCGCACTTCAGACCCTTGATAGATTATATATTTACGGGACCTGCCTCCCTGCGGAGCGATGAATCAGATGAGACCAAACACCTAATCCATCGCAGGAAATTCTTTATGGTCGAATAAGGGATGCCCCATCTATATGTTAAATATAGTGTAGTGTATAGATAAATCGAAAGATTCATAGCAGAAAAAATCACTTAGTTCACCCTCAGGGTTGATACCAAGAATACTCTGAAAGGGTAAAAAAGAGAGAGAGGGAGGGAGAGGAAGGGGAAACAAGCCACGGCTGAAGAACCCGATCAAATTGTTTCGAACATGGATCCGAAAAGCAGGAGATCGTTTGGAGATGGATTGCGCAGGGTGGTCAAGAAATTTACGACCCGGTACGTTAAAAGGGGATAAGGGAAAAGTTGCTTACCTCTTCATCCAACCTCCATCCCTCGTTTTTCGTCAATATAAACATACATATATAACTATACATATCGAAGACGGCCGTCCCCTGTTTCTGACAGCAACAAATAGAAAGTGGTTTATCGGCGAATATAACTATGCCTGCTTATTCACGCCGAACCTCCCATTGATGAAATCACGACAGCAGTCTGCGCCCTTTTTCGGCCTGGATGATAGGATGCCGGTGGTACTGGCGCTGATTCTGGGTTTGCAGCATGCGCTTGCGATGTTGGCGAGGAGTATGTGAAATTCTCCCTCCCCTCTTCTCTCTTCCACCACGCAGCAACTCTGAGCGGCAGTAAAGGCGGTAAAAGTATGTTCGAAGGAAGGAAAAAAATCAAGAATAAGAAGAAGGAGAAGAAGAAGAAGAAGAAGAAGAATACTTGCGGGCCTGTGCACGATAACGCCCATGTCTGTGTTCGCGCAGAATAACGGGGTGATTTCGCTGACGCGCTGCGCTGATCGGCAGGCGGGGTATTGCAGCTGCATCTTCCTGGTGGTGATGGGGATATTGTCGAAGTTCGCTGCAGCGTTGGTTACGATTCCTTCCGCAGTGTTGGGGGGGATGACGACGTTTTTGTTTTACGAGTGTTGTCGTGTCTGGGATGCGGATTATTGCTACGATTCGGTTTACGAGGAGGAATCCGTTTATATTGACGGCGGCGTTGTCGTTGGGAATGGGGGCGACACTTGTGCCGGAGTGGTTTGCATTTGTGTTTACGTACCAGGGCGGGAATAAGGCGAAGCAGGGGTTGTTGGACGTTGTGGAGTTGGTGATGACGACTGGGTTTGCGGTTGCGGCGTTTATCGCGATGGTTTAGAATCTGGTGTTGAAGGAAGAAGAGAAGAGGAGGAGGAAAAAGAAGAGGAGGAAGTAGAGGGAGTAGAAGAGAGCCAGGGGAAGGATAATGAGGCGGAGGATCAGGAGGCGGTGGTTAAGGGGGATTGATGTGTGATGGATGATATTGATGTTTGAAGATCAACTACGTAGATGAAATCTGATCTTATCTGATCTTATCACATTTATCACGTGCTATATATCTGGGCCACTGACGACCTAACGGATAAACCTAATCCGATGCCAGAAAAGCGGCAACTCCTGGCAAAAAACGACGCCACCGCGAATGGAGTTCTGGTGGCTTTAAAAATCGGTTGGGGGGAAATGAAAAATGAGTTTGCCGACAGCAGCAGAAGGGTTCCTTTATCTGTATTTATTTATTATTTGAAAACTAGTAATTGGGAGTAGTGTATGGCTGTTGGCTGTGGAGACTCTAGGTACATGATACATGCATGTGCATTGTCTTTGAACAGATCAAAGGCACATACACCCCTGGGTAGTTGGGATGAGAGAATGGGGGATAACTTGCTCCTGGGTTTGGATTCTGCGGGCTAGCTTAATCACGTGCCTTCCCAACGCATGGCGGCGGGCCCTGACTAAGTTAGTTCAACACGCCACAGCAACGTTGTCCTTCCCATGAGCTTAGAGCGCACGGGATCCTCTGGGCCATGGAACCAAGGCCCCCCGCCAAGACCAACGACGACTTTAAATGGCCCTGCAGCCAATCAGAGGGCGGGTGGCCGGTCCGAGTGGGGCCGCCCTTTTGGGTTTTGTTGGGAGAGAGCTAAGCCTGTTGGGAAGACCGGTGGAACGTGCGTTGAGTTTATTTTTTCCGGGCCGACGAAGCGAAGGCGGGATTCGATTGGCAGGAGACGGACGGTATTACTAAGTCCATTCTGGGTTCGACATCAGCCGTGCCAATGGCACAGAGACATCGTATACAGAGAGAGGAGAGCTACATGTTATGTACCTTATCTGTCGTCTCTGGGGGGTAAGGTGGTGGAATGTGCTACTAGTTACATTGTTGAGTGTTGGCTGAATCATCAAGGAATGACGCAAGGTTGGTGGGTGTTGGGAGCTTCCAGAGTTTTTTAGTCCCGAACCCCACGACGGGGTCCTGCTGGTACTGGTACATGCAGGAATACACTTCGGGCCCAAACTCAAATGTTTGAAGAGTAAAATAAAAAAATATAAATCAATGGATGTCTGCCATTCAATCTCGCTTATTTACGCAAGAGCTGAGAATTGCAGATAACAGTCACAGAACTGCATTGTTCACCAAATTCTTTCCCCCCCCCGGCGAATGGGCTGATTTTTTATGCAGTTTGTCTGGAGGACCAAGCTCTTCAAAATATATAGTGGTGTATAGAGACAGAACTTGGGGAGTTAGAGTTCTCGAGCAGCAGCGAAGTACCGGTACATGGCCCAAGGTTCGCCGTCCAACTCCCTCCACTCCCACCCCAACAAATTGTCTTTTTTCCTCATCGTAAATCTTCAAAAAATCTTTACAGTCTTCACCTTCACATTCTTCTGCTGCTTAATTCCAACAATCAACTACTTCTTCTCATCTGCACCCAAGAGAGACGAGAAATCCCCCTCCCTCGTGAAGCCGAGGAAAAAGTGGCCTGATTGTCTCTGCTGTTGAATGCGCTTGTTGCATCTTGCCGTTCAACAGGTTCACCGCCCTGTCCAGCTTCTGCCGGGGGTTCCCTTGTTATATAGCCGTTTTCATCCGCCGCCTCCTTTTTAACACATCCCCATACACATTAACACATCAACACCTAACACACTGAACACATACATAATACGTTTCTAGTTAACTGCAGGATTTATTCCTCCTCTTTCTCATCTTTCTCCTCCTCCTCCTCCTTATCCCCAAATCTTCTAATATCCATCCTCCCATCCGCCCATCATCCATTACTTCTCCTTAAAGCACCCCCTCACTGGCTCCCGGGACCAAATTGGCCCCCCCTCGAACCACCATGGTTTCAAAGGAAGCCTCACCGGCTGCCACAGCCAAACCAACAGACACCCGTCGTCCCACAACTGAACCCAAGAAAGTCCACATCACAGATACCCAGATGACCCTTGCAAACTGGCACAAGCATGTCAACTGGCTCAACGTTACCCTAATCCTCGCCATCCCCTTATACGGCTGCATCCAGGCCTACTGGGTCCCTCTGCAAATGAAAACCGCCATCTGGGCGGTAGTCTATTACTTCATGACTGGAATCGGTATCACTGCTGGTATGTGGTTCTCTTTCTCTCTTTCTAACATGTTATTCTTCACAATTAAGAATGCGGAGACACGCTGACAAGGTATTTCTGTTACAGGCTATCATCGTCTTTGGGCTCATACCTCGTATTCCGCCACCCTTCCCCTCAGAATCTACCTGGCCGCCGTTGGAGGTGGCGCCGTCGAAGGTTCCATCAGATGGTGGGCTCGAGACCACCGTGCTCACCACCGCTACACAGACACAGAAAAGGACCCTTACTCCGTCCGCAAGGGTCTCCTTTACTCCCACATCGGCTGGATGATCATGAAGCAAAACCCCAAACGCATCGGCCGCACAGACATCACGGACCTAAACGAAGACCCCGTCGTTGTCTGGCAGCACCGCAACTACCTGAAAGTCGTCATCTTCATGGGCCTAGTCTTCCCAATGCTAGTCAGCGGTATAGGATGGGGTGACTGGTTTGGCGGTTTCATCTACGCCGGCATCCTGCGCGTCTTCTTTGTCCAGCAGGCTACCTTCTGCGTCAACTCCCTCGCCCACTATCTGGGCGAGCAGCCCTTTGACGACCGCAACAGCCCCCGCGACCACTTCGTCACCGCCCTCGTCACTCTGGGTGAAGGGTACCATAACTTCCACCACGAGTTCCCATCAGATTACCGCAACGCCATCGAATGGCACCAGTACGACCCGACCAAATGGACAATCTGGATATGGAAACAGCTCGGCCTCGCCTACGACCTCAAGCAGTTCCGCGCCAACGAGATCGAAAAGGGCCGCATCCAACAGCTACAGAAGAAAATCGACCAGCGCCGCGCCAAACTGGACTGGGGCATCCCCCTCGACCAACTCCCCATCATCGAATGGGACGATTACGTTGAGCAGAGCAAGAATGGCCGTGGCCTCATCGCCATCGCCGGTGTGGTCCATGACGTCACTGACTTCATCAAGGATCACCCTGGCGGGAAAGCTATGATCAGTTCCGGCATTGGCAAGGACGCCACGGCGATATTTAATGGGGGCGTATACAACCATTCGAACGCGGCGCATAATTTGCTCTCGACGATGAGGGTGGGGGTTATTCGGGGTGGGTGTGAGGTGGAGATTTGGAAGAGGGCACAGAGGGAGAATAAGGAGGTTGAGTCTGTGCGGGATGAGCTTGGGAATCGGATTGTTAGGGCTGGGGCGCAGGTGACGAAGATTCCAGAGCCTATTCCTACGGCTGGTGCTGCGTAGGTGGGTAGATTAAACGGGGGTTGGAAGTGTCGAGAGTGGACGTGGGTTGGGTTGATGATGGACTTATGCCTCTTTTTCTCCGATATTCCTTTTTTTAGTCTTCTTGTTTCTTCCCTTCTTGTAATAATGGCTGCACGAATTGACTCGGTACATATCTCACTCATGCCCTTTCTGACTTATTTTCCTTTTCCTTCTCCCTCACCCGCTCCTGTTTTCGTTTGTGTACCGGCAAGGCCCTCTCACCACAATCACACTAAACCTCACCTAACGCGTCGTCTGTCCGCACAGCGAGAAGAAAAGAAACACGTTCTTCTGCTGGATCAATATGATCGCATCATGAAAACAGCATTCTATACGCTAGTGTTTCTACCCCCTCATGTACTCCATATTTCATTTCTCTTTTACCTTTCCTTCCATGCTCTTGTTTTGTTTCATCTGTTTGGAGTAGACGGTATCCGGGAAAAAAAAGAAAACTCGAGAATTAGTTGATTTGATTTTTCATTTGAAACTTCCCTATTTTCCTTTCTCTTTCTCTTCTTTTCTTCGGTCGTTGCCCACTCTTCCATGAGAAATGCATGGAATAGAAAAAAGGCGTTGTTGTGTTGTTCTTCCTCGGCTGGTTCGGCTTAATTCTTTGTATTCTTTTTCAAATCATATTTTCCCCCCTTAGTTAACTGAGTAATGGAATGGACTGTGTCGCAAACTGGGTTTCAGATCCTATCAGATTAGCCAAGGTGGAAAATAAAAAGCAGCAGAAACAGTGTGACGCTTAGTAAAGATGATTAGAAGCTAACTGGAGATGTTTAAAATACTGGGTGAGGGGGTTGGGGATTATGCGTTTTGCGTTTCTCCTCCCTTCATTCCCGTCCTTGATCCCTGAGCATAGGAAAAATAGGTGGGTGTTGTTCCCCCGCAGGCGCTTGTGCCTTGTTCCTTAACTACTATTCTGCTCGCCCTGCAAAATGACAGGAATTTAGTTTGGAGATTGGAGAAGGGTGTGGAAATGGATAGATAGTGCTGCAGGTTGTGTCTGTTATGTGTCCTCTCTCTTCTGAGGTGGTCGGAGACAAGATATTAATAATTAGGTTTGTCAGAAGAGTTGATTTTGCCTTTTCTGCGTGGCTTGTTACGTATGACCTAGGAAAACATGTGAGACGGAGCATCAGAAAACGGACAAGTTAACCATTGAATTTAATTAATCCATTTGATGAGATTGACTGCTTTGTCTTCTCGCATCTAGGTTGTTGTATCCGTGGCGATGGATACATGGATCTTAAACAGCTAATAATTATCACTGCATGCAGAACTAGAAGCTAATCATTTCTCTTCAGTTCCCCTTTCTTCTTTTCTTTTTCTTTTTTTTTTATCCAGCCGATCATGCCCCGTAACAGCATACCTAGGCAGTGATTTCAGTTATATGAACACGCATGGCGCAGAGAAGATGCACAAACGTAATTCAAAACTTTGGTTTTCTTCATATCGTATAGCGTCTTCGCATCTTGTGTACACAAAACACGACGAAGCCATATGTAATTCTGGAAACTGCCGTCGTGCATCTGTTGGGACTAAACCCTGTAACGATGTCTATCCTGAAGGTCGTATCGTATGTCGATTATCATGGGGACTGAGCTGATTATCCAT